CCGGAATAAATCGGTGTTTTTTAGTATTACAAAATCCTTGAATATTTTATGCAAACCTCATGTTAAACGCACAAGATGGCTTTTGGTAAATAAAAAAAAATTCGTGCAATCGATGGCACGTGCAAAGCCTTGTGTGCATTGCTGGTGTAGACCTCCCCCTCCCCCTCCCACCTCTCCCCCTTCCCCCCTCCCCCTCCCACCTCTCCCCCTTCCCCCCTCCCCCTCCCACCTCCCCCTTCCCTCCTCCCCCTCCCACCTCCGCCCATCTTTCCCCCCCTCTTCCCCTCCCCCTTTCCCCCCTCCTCTTCCCCTTCCCCCTCCCACTCCCACCTCCCCATCTTTCCCCCCTCCTCATCTTTTCCCCCCACCCCTTCCCCCCTCCCCCCCTTTGGCACCAACAACGTAGGAATCCTTTCTATTGTCACCGTCTCTTTGATACAAATCCTTCTGTGCTTGGCACTCTCCCTTTTTCCCCCCCTTGGCACTCTCCCTCCCCCCCTTGGCACTCTCCCTTCCCCCCCTTGGCACTCTCCCTTTTCCCCCCTTGGCACTCTCCCTTTTTTTTCCTTTGGCACTCTCCCTTTCCCCCCCTTGGCACTCTCCCTCCCCCCCTTGGCACTCTCCCCCCCTTGGCACTCTCCCTTCCCCCCCCTTGGCACTCTCCCTTTTTTCCCTTTGGCACTCTCCCTTTTTTTCCCCCTTGGCACCACCCGTTTGGTAGCCTCTGCCCCCCCCCCCCCCCGCATCCACCTCCCTTTTGGGAATCTCTATCCCTTTGACACACTCTCCCCCTTGACACCTTCTCCTCTTTGACACCCTCTTCTCTTTGACACTCTTTCCTCTTTGACACACTCCCCATTGTGACACTTTCTCCCTTGACACCCTCTCTAGTAGTCTCTAATTCTTCCCTTGCCAATATCCCCCCCATTGACACTATCTCCCCTTTGACACTATCTCCCCTTTGACACTATCTCCCCATTGACACTATCTCCCCTTTGACACTATCCCCTTTGACACACTCTCTAGTTCTCTCCAACTCCCCCCTTGCCAACTTCCCCCCCTTTGACCCCCTCTCCCTTCTAATACTCTCTAATCCCCCCCCCCCCCCTTTGCAACACCCCTTTGCATGACAAGGTTGCTTTCAAGAACTCCAATAACAAAGCTATTCGTGTATAAAAGCTTTCGTAATTGCATGTTTTCCTCACAAGGTGCATTTTTGGCACAAAATATCGCAGAGGAGTTGCATGACTGGATCGCAAATTGCAAAGAATAGATCCTTCAGGTGAACAGACACTAGGTCAACATTAACGTTCAATTGCAAGTGACTAAGAAGTGGAGGAAAGTTATCAGGAATTATGAATGTTGCAATGATACTGTTGACACTGATAACAATAATAATGGTGATAATGCTAATTTTGATGATAGTAACTTTAAAAATGCTAGTAATAAAAGTAGTGATGATGATGAAAAGGATTCTAATAACTATGGTGATAATGATGATAACACTGGTAATAAAAGTAGGAACAATAACAGTGATAATAATGATAATGATAACAATATACATATAATGATAATGCTAAGAAAAATGCTAATAATAGTAACATTTAAAATTTAAGAATAATTGTTATGATGATGATAAAAAATGATACTAATAATTACGGTACTAATGAGGATAATACTGGTAATTATAATGATAATAATAACAATATAAAGATGATAAAAGTAACAATAATAAAAGATAAAAGAAAGTCAGAAGCACACACAGAAATAGAAATAATCACATAGACATGGAGATACATACACTGCCATAGATATAGTCACAGACAAACAGACATTAAGTTGATAGCAAACATATTAACGAAAGATAACAAACAGATAAACAGAAGATAACAAATAGACAACCAGATAACGAAAGATAAGGAACAGATTCACAGAAGATAAAAAACAGATAAAGAGAAGATAACAAACCAGATAAACAGAATATAACAAACATATAAAGAAAATATAACAAACAGATAAAGAGAAGATAACAAACAGATAAAGAGAAGATAACAAACCAGATAAACAGAGGAGAACGAGCAGATAAACAGAAACGAACAAGCAGACAAACAGAAGAGAACAAACAGATAAACAGAAGATACCAAACAAACAGAAGATACCAACAAGACCAACAGACGAACAGAAGAGACCAAACACACCAACAGAAGAGAACAAACAGACAAACAGAAGAAAACAAACAGACAAACAGAAGAGAACAAACACACCAACAGAAGAGAACAAACAGACCAACAGAAGAAAACAAACAGACCAACAGAAGAGAACAAACAGACAAACAGAAGAGAACAAATAGACCAACAGAAGAAAACAAACAGACCAACAGAAGAAAACAAACAGAAGACACCAAACAGACAAACAGAAGGTACCAAACAGTTAAGCCGGCAGCCACAAAGAGAAAAGTTGGGCCATCACTTACCCAGTCTTAGCAGAGAGCGCCGAGCAT